GCAGCAGACTCGTGTCACCTAAAGCCGTGGAGGAAGCGGGGCCACTGGAATGACCACACCCACCCGGCGGGAGTGTCACCGAGCGGGACCCCGTGGGGCCTTCCCAGGACAGACCACCCCCAGGGTCCTCCGCCTGCCTCTTGTCTGTAGAAAAACTTCGGTCTCCCAGGCTCCCCAAGTTCCAAGAGCACATTTAATCACAGAAGCGAGAAAATGCAAAAAGAAAGGAAAACAGTCCAGCAAGACAAAATAATCATAGTTTAGCCACCAAATAAAGTCAAGGACCGTTAGCTCCTCCTCAGGGGCTACAGGTAATACCTGAGCCGCGTCCTTGGAGCGGTTTTGCAGCTACTGAGCCCCGCCAGGTGGGAGAAGCTAACTGTGTGCTGCCCACCAGCACGGGGACCCCAGACCGCCTGGAACCAGCGGGCTGGTGATGCTGACTCCGAGGCCCTCTCCACCAGCCAATCAGAAGAAGGTCCACGAGCTGACCACGCCCCCACGCCCCCCTTCCCTCGCCCCGTCCCTGAAACAGACCCGAGTCCGGTTTGGTAACAGGAGCACGGGACGGCACAGCAGTGTGGAGAACCGTTTGGCAGCTTCGTACAAAGTGGAGCACAACCCTACCTGGCGACCCAGCCCAGCTACACCCAGGTGCTCCCCCAAGAGAAAGGAAAACACGCCTGGTCAGAGGCTGGTACAAAAACGTTCACAGCAGCTTCGATCACGAGTCCAGACTGCGAAGCAACCCAAACACGCACCACCAGGAGCACGGAGAGCCGTACCGGGGCACAAATGCACGACGGCACGCGCTTCACAGCAGAAGCGCACACACCTGCACCAGCGTTCAGTTCCATGAAAGGCGCCGGGCTCAGGGGCGCGTGCTGTAGGTCCCAGCTCTCTGAAACCCCGCAACAGGCTGGCCTGATCTCTGGTGGTGAACGGAAACCGCGCAGGGCCCCGCGGGGCCTTCCCAGAGACAGACACTCTCCTGCCCCCACCTCTCGTGTCTCTGATTTGTAGAAAAGCTTTAGCCTCCTGGGCCTTCCCCAAGTTCCAAAGAGCAAATTTAATCAGAGAAACACAAAACCAAAGGACATAGTCAAGCAACGCAAAATAATAATAGTTCAGCCATCAGACAGAGTCACAACAGACCTTCAGGTCCTCCTCAAGGGTCGGAGATGATGTGCCGAGCCGCGTCCTTGAGCTGTTTTGCAGAAACTGAACCCCCACCAGGTGGAGGATGTTAACTGCATGCTGCCCCAGGCCGGATGGAAGCAGAAGGTTGATGACTGAGGGTCCTGAAACCTCACCCTGCCGCCTCACCGCCAGCCAGCCAGAGAACTGCGCACGGGCGTCCACGCACCCCGTGACCCTCTCGTGCACGCTGTCTTAAAAAGCCCTTCCTGGCTTTCAAGGAGTTCAGGTCTTCTGATAGTGAGCTGCGCATTCTCCTTGCTTCGTCCCACGCCGGGCACCTTGCAGTAAACTTCGTACCTTCCTTCACCCCAACCCAGTGGTAGTAGATTGGCTCAGGCGAGCGAACCCAGGTTTGGTTCAGGAACAGAATCAGAACTCCGGTTGCCTCTGGTTGGGGTGTGCGGGGCTGGAAAGCAGCCTGAGAGACCTTTCTGGGCTGATGAGCCTGTTTTGCATCCTAACTGCAGTTGGAGACCCAGGTGTACACGTTTGCCCAAATGCACTGAAGCAGCCCCACACCCTGAGCCTTTCTCACTGCACATAAATCGTTCCTCTGTAAAAGCCAACGCTGCGTCACAGCCGTGGAAAGCCCAAGGCAGACAGAACTCAGCAGGAAGGGCTCTGGACTCCCCCCACCCTCAAATCCAGCTCAGATTCCACCTCCTCTGTGCTGTTCTCTCCCTCCGCCCAACTGCGCCCCCAGTTACCGGGGTGCCTGCCTCTGCCCAACAGCCCATGTCATTAGCAGAAGCATGCTGTTCATATTTGCCATCATTAGCAGACAGAAGACAGTTCCCCCTAGACACCTACGTCCGACGGTCCCCCAGAGATGCCCGTGTCCGAATCCCCAGGACCTGCGAGTACAGGACCTTACAAGGCAAAGGGGAATTAAACTGTCTAATCCGTTTAGCCCGACCGGGGTTATCCAGGTGGAGCCAATCTGATTACATGAGTCCTAAAAAGTGGAGGAGGAGGCAGAGGAGAGGGTCAGAGACGCGAAGCCTGAGAAGACCCAGCCCAGGGCTGCTGGCTTGAAGGACAGAGGGGGTCCACCAGCCAGAGAAGGCTGTGGCCTCTAGAACCTGGAAAAGCCATAACCAAGGAGTGGCTTGCCTCCTAGGGTTCTGTTAGGGAACACCGCCCAGCTGACACCATGATGAGACCCTCCCCAGACTTCCAGCCTCCAGAACCACAAAATAATACACTGGTGATATTTGAAGCCACCAAATTTGTGGCCTTTTTTTCCAGCTTCTGATATCTTTAACGGTAACGGTTGCTCTGTCTCCAGCACGGGTCCCTGCAAGATGCCCAGGGCCAGGAGGTGCTCGAACGCGGGGGCTGCCTCCATGCCAGGTCAGCACAGTTGCCTGGAGACCAAGATCTGCTTCCACATTCTCAAGTCCCCCGGCACCGGCCGGAGCCCCAGGAGTGTTGAACCCCATGCCAGGCATCAGCCTGGTGGAGAATGGGCTTCACCAAGGATCCCTGCCTCAGTTTGCAGGAGCAAAAATGCCCTTCCAAAAATCTCCCCGTCATCTGACAGCTTCTCTATGATAGACACACACAAGTGACTGCCCTGGGGAGGCCCTTTCCAGAGACACATCAGCTGGACAAACTGCACTGTGTCCCCCCCACCCCTGTGAGGGTGCTGCCAGTGGGCAGGGAAACCAGCCCCCGACACCCAGGCGAGAGGGTGATGCAGGCAGGTGGGGGGGAGCACCCCCAGCAGGAGAGGGAGGAGGGGGCGCCCAGCTGCCCTGCCTTTTCCTGCCCCCCAACCCAGGAAGCCAGTCATTTCTGGAGGATGCAGGGGGCAGGAAGGCCCAAACGGCCCTCACATGCGGCCACTCTGGGCTGCCCCGTCCAGGCATGAAATCACCAGCAGCGCTGGGCACCAACGTGCCAGAGTCTTTCCAATGGAAGAGTGCGGACGGGGAGCCAGTGGCTCTGAACTCTGTACTGGGAGGGGGAGCTGGATTCCCTCCCCGTCAGGAGGGAAGGAGACAGAGGGGCGGGCACCCAGCAACCTGGGAAGGCAAGTCAATTTCACCGGCCACGGCCTTGCCCCTCACAGGCCAGAGCGGCTGGGCAGGCTGCCCGCAGGAGAGCCCGGGCGTGGGCCAGGGGTCAGTGGGCCTGAACTGCCCCAATCCTCCCGGGCGACCGTCACTGCACCCAGGAAACACGCTCCCACCCACTGACCCAGCCAGCCACCTCCCTGCGCCAAGCACATCCGGTATTTCAAGGTTACATTCGGGACATCTCTTACCTCGACACCCTCACCATTCGGCAAAGGTTATGGTTCCCCTCAGGTTTGAACCTGAGCAGGACCACAGGAAGCGTAGCACAGATGGACGTGCCCTTGGAACTTTCTCCGCTGAGCCTCTGTGATGAAGGCGCTGCACACCAGACAGCGCTGGGGAGACCTTGTGCCCTGGGGGGCTCGTGTCTCCAGAACACCTCACTGCCCGGCCGCGCCGGCCCAGGCAGCCCTGGCCACGCGCAGGGGGCTCCCTGGTGCATCTAGGCTGGGAACCTGAACGGGACAGGCCTCCCCGGACCACACGAGGACACAGCAGAGCCGTCGGCCGCAGAGCGAGCGTGGCCACTTCTGACACGCGCACCCAGCGCCCGGGACTCTTTCCACCAGGACCCAGGGGCACGCACATGGACCGGGTGCTCACAAGACCCCAGTGCTTCGCTTTTCCCCAGCCCTCGTATTTTTTCTCAATACCGTTTCATATGAGTGGTTTCCTCTTAACACTGTAATCAGGTAAAGCTTTTGGCAATCACTTTCGGAATGGGTGTCGGCGAGGGCTGCATCTGGGAGTTCTGAGAGATGCTGGAACGAACTACCTTCGCACCTGCAGCGCTCTTTTGAGCACTTTCTCACTGAGACATCAGA